GCCTCCGAAACGTCGTGATTTTTATTTTTATTTTACTTTTATTAATTTTAATGTTTTACCTACGTGACTTTACCGAAAAAACCCTTAGAATATGAATGCGTATCTATCTTCCTATCTATCGCCGAGCTGACGTCGCGTGCACTCGCGCGCAAAGAGTGCGGCTAAAGAAAGGCAAGGGGACCCCCCCCCTTCCCGTGTGTAACCTTCACAGGCTGTTGCTGCGTGGAGATGCTGCCATTGACAAGGGGCTGTATAATATTGTATTCATCTTGGTTTTAAGCTTTCGTGACTGCAGGAATCCACACTCTTTGGTTCTTTCGGTAAAGTCACGTAGGTAGAAATAATAATAGATCACGACGTTTCGATCGCAACACAAGCAACCTTCATCAGGTGTGAAACAAACACAGCAGGAGGACTGCTGACGTAGGATATTACTATTTTACTTTTTACAAAATTTGTTAAATGATGATTCCACGGTCACTGAATTACATAAATAATGGAGGTTAATTCGACACGGTGATGGGTGATTGTCACGGTTGGCTACGTACGGTGCGACAGAAGTTCAACATACATCATACATGGGCCCTGTTATGCATGGCAGCAAGCCTGCTGCTGTGCACAACGATTTAGAAACTACGACATTCCAAACGATGCTGTCGTTTGAATGTTATAATCATGAGAGGTTCTGTGGCCCATGCTGCAATTGCATTTCCGTGGAATCGACCGTGCACTTATTTAAAATCGGATGTGTTAAGTCAGAAGCATATGCCGAACTTTAAAAGTGCTTCGTTCATTTTAACTTGCCGTAAATTAATAGGATAATTTATTTTGCGGGGCTGGAAGACCAAACAATATAATATTATAATAATGAAAACACACTTCCAGGGCAGTGAGGTGCCTCTTAGGGGCACCTCCAGTTAGCACGGTTGGCAACGTACGGTGCGCAAGACGTTCAACATACATACATACAGTACAACAGGGAGGTTTCAGACCATTGGCATAGCGTGGTTGGCGCGAGCCCGAGTGCATGCCACGAATTGTGGCCCCTTGGAGCCTCCTGGCACGTGACGGGCACTGCCGCAGTTGCACCGCCTGCACACTCCGTGGCTATGCCGCTGTTTTAGATCTGTGTAGAATTTGAGTGCTATTCTCTCGTACACGTGAGTGTTTGCCGAGCACTCTGAATTCCTCCCGCACGCAATGATACTCGACTAATATCAAGCGGGCTGTGTGAGGAAGTCATTGGCGTTGCGCTGGGCATAAAACGGGAATTATAATAATATTCAAGCGTTGCTTCCTTTGTGCTTGCAAAGGCTCCAAAAGAGCAATGCCAGCAGTTCCTGACGGATAAGGAGCTAAATCTGCAAGCCACAGTCGCCACAACTGAATGTGGCATAACGTTCGCATTAATGGTCACTGTATTTATATTTTTATACGCGCCTATGACCAAATCACCCGGAATGCAATCGAAGCAGGTTCGAGTGAGGATAGTGCTTGCACAGGCGACCACCATGCATTGCACGGTTGTTGTCGGCTGTTCCAGAGCTACGTTGTCAGTAGAGGGGGAGTACAGGACAATCCACTGTTGTACTGTGCTTCTATGCGTCTAAGTCTATACCTCCCACCGACACCAACCCACACTGGTGAAGTATGGTGAATATGGTCAAATAATTACCACAATCTGTACGATGTGAGGGGCTCTCATCTAGAAGTGGATTTACGAAAGTGCTGTATGTGTGCATATATCCACGTGACAAGACAACGAGATAGTATTACTTTTGTTCCATACGCTGGAAAATTCGCAGCTTGCTGAATTCGAGGAATAGCACAGATGTTTGTTTAAAGCCGATGAGATCGCTTTAACAGTACTAAGGACGGGAAATGTTATGTTATTCTTCTCCCAGCACGATTAGCACACATCCAAATGTAACATCTCGTAATATTATTTATAGTTTTGCTTTTCATCCCTTTACTTTGTCAACATCAATGTTTTGATGTATGTGTCATAGCAGCTAATACGCACCGATTAAACACGCCCTTTTGTTCAACAGGTAAGGGAGCACGTTGGTAAATATGTAGCAAAACATTAGAAAAGTATCCAAAGAAGTTAGGTGAAATTCAGGCTTGGAATTTACGCCAAGAGACGGAATGAGGAACACACAAGTTAAAGACATCATATTCTTAGGTTTTTTTGGTAAAGTCACGTAGGTAAAAAAATGTAATTAATAAAAGTCACTTGATACGGCTATCGTGTTGTGACGGTTCCGCCTGAAGACGGAAGCTTGTGTTGCCTCCGAAACGTCGTGATTTTTATTTTATTTTTATTTACTTTTATTAATTTTAATTTTTTACCTACGTGACTTTACCAAAAAAACCTAAGAATATGAATCCTTGCAGTCACGAAAGTTTCAAATCTAGAATTGAAGACATCATATTGACTGTTGAGTAAAGCAAGTGGACCATAGGCAGCACTCATCATGGCCAGAAGGGGCGATCAGGTGCGGTCGAGACTAACGGCGGAGTGGCAGCCAACGGAGGCAACACACCCAAGACGACGTTAAACGCGAGGGTGGAACAATGACAACAAGCTACGTGAGGGAGCTACTGTCGATGGGATGGATTGTTGGTTATATTGCGGGAATGTGAGAGATGGGGACGACTTGAGGAGGCCTTCATCCAACAGTGGGTAAGATTATATTATGGCTGTTGATGATGGTGAATTGAATATGGCTATAGACTGTTGTAACACAGGAGTGCGGTACAATAATTATTTTCACTGCACTGCCCTCTGCTGCCCAATAACGCCGCCCCGAAATGTTTCCTTAATGATCTGGACATGCCCACTGGTCCACTACCATCCAAAGCACATTTTAAAATATATAGCCACTCAACAGTCGTAAATGTGAGAGCGATGGAATTTGTATGGGTTCGTCAAGTTCAAGGGCAGCTGAGAAAACAGCCACTTTGACGTAGCATAGATATAATAAACTCACCGCTATTGGGCCAGTCGCCATCACGGCAGCAACCAACGCGTCTCTACGAAAACATGGTGGGGGGAGGGCAGGGATGGCGATGCGCGCGGTTGCACAATGGATGGGTGGAAGTCTGGCCGCAAGGGATAATCGGCAAAGCCAGATATTTGTACAATCCTCGGTTAGGAAATGCCCTGTCTGGAAGGAGAACATGGGCTCATTTCTGAAGCCAACTCGTCAGCAAAAAACCCGCTGTCAACTTGAGACGGCGCACGGTCAAACACGAGCGTGGCATTTGGCACCACCGCAACGATCGTCAGCGGTCACGATCTACCCGATTCTGGATGTGAAGGCACCCTCAAGCGAGAAGGGGAGTTGGGGCCAGGTGACAACGCAAAGGTTGTTCAGGAGCGACGTTCAAAGATGCTTCCCGCAAATTGGATTTGAGATATAAGATCACGTAAATCAGTATCATCATCATGAGCCATGATAATTCAACTGCTGGATGAAGGCTCTCTCCATCCCATCGCCATGTGTCAATGTTCCGTGATGCCGATGTCATCGCTCCGTCTCTCGGCATGTCACCTGTGTTGGCTGTCACTCTGGGGCATACAGGTTTACTGCCTAACTAAACTAAGCCATTAAAGTCACTTTTTTTTTTGCCAAGTAAGTCCCACTGAGCTATATAGCTCCTTTTCAGAAGCGACCTGGCCACAAATGATAGCTCAACGCAGTGGCTTATGCGGAAATATATAGGAGCCAAATACTCGAAATCCATGTTGATTCCAAATGTGGAGGGGCAAACCGGAGGACCCGGAGACACATCCAGGCGACCACGGGGAGAACGTGCAAACTCCAAACGTGTTACGTGCGCCGGTTAGACACGTTATTCGTAAGGCACATGATGCTTTTGTTTTCGCGGGCGAATTTGTGTCTTTTCGTTCATAAAGTCAGAAAAAAACAACATATGAATCCAAATTTTAAATGTATTCATACTTTAACATTTATTTATACTAAAGTAATACAAAAATGACGACTGTCCTTGGTAGTGGCGATTTTGTGTTAGGGGCCGTCCATAAATGACGTCACGCACCTGGGGGGGGGGGGGGTCAGGCATTTGTGACGATGTGTGACGAGGGGGGGGGGGGGTGAGAAATGTGACGTCACATCAAAATGCGCAACTTTAAATAAATATAGTCAACACGTTCTACTTAATTAAATAGACTTTTTAATCAATGTTTTCTCCTACAACATCAGAGTGCAGCGCCACATTAAATACGCACTACAATGACAATAGTTTAAAGCGATTTGAAGCATATTCTTAGGTTTTTTCGGTAAAGTCACGTCGGTAAAAAAATCAAAATTAATAAAAATAAAATAAAAATCACGACGTTTCGGAGGCAACACAAGCTTCCGTCTTCAGGTGGAACCGTCACAGCACGACTCATTTACTTGATGCAGCTGTCGTGGCTGTGACGGTTCCACCGGAAGACGGAAGCTTGTGTTGCCTCCGAAACGTCGTGATTTTTATTTTATTTTACTTTTATTAATTTAGATTTTTTACCTACGTGGTGAATTTACCGAAAAACCTAAGAATATGAATACTTGCAGTCACGAAAGCTTCAAATCTTGATTTGAAGCATGTTTTTTTTTTGGGGGGGGGGGGCAGAGCTTTGTGACGTCATATTTTAGGGGGAGTCTGACTTTTTGTGACGTTGTGTGACGAGGGGGGGGGGGTCAAAAATCGTCCAAAATCGCGTGACGTCATTTATGAACGCCCCCTTAAACCGAAAGAACCAAAGAGTATAACAATCCCGCAATGACGTCACCCCTGACCGCCCACCTTTTCCGCCGCAGTCCTCACACCCTGCGCGGTGACGTCAAAAGCTCACATCAACCCACCTCCCATTACATGACGTCACCGCCGCATTCTCGCCCCGATGCACCCCGCTCACCTCTGCCTCTACGTCACTTGCGCCTACTGTACCGACGGCGGTGACGTCATCGCGGAGTGACATGACGTCATAGCGCCTCACTCCTCCCCACCAGCTTACAGTGAAAGATGGCAGCGGTGGAGGCGGAGAGCGTTGAGACGGCAGCGGAACACGAGCGGATCTTGCGCGAGATCGAGAGCACGGACACGGCGTGCATCGGCCCCACGCTCAGGTTCACACGCCCAGACGGGGGGGAGGCTCTTGCTTGCGTGGTCGTCGTGCCGGTTGTTTTGCGCCCTGGCCCTTACCCCCCCTCACCCCGTCTTGCTACCACACTCACCACCGGTGGGACCCAAGGCCACACAGTCGCACACCGCGCTCGCCGTGGTGGCTTGGCACTGCAGTTGTAGACACGGGTGCTGGGTGGGAGCGCCTCTAGGTGCGCGTAGCCTCAAATGAGTGGAGGGGGGTGCGGTGTCATAGTCATCATCTGTGGCCGAAGACGAGCTGAGACTGTAATGCAAACACAGGAGACCAGGGCCTGGTCTCTTGGGCGGTCTTCCTGGCTGGTGGCTCAGTAGGACTTCTCTTAAGTCCGTGGAGCCGTGTGACTGTGTGTGTGTGTACTCCTGTCTGGTGATCGTGTGCGTGGTTGAGAGAGACAAGACTAACGTGAACATGTGGACATGGGCTGTCTTGACTTGATCTCCGGTCTAGCTGGTTGGCTGTGATGCGGGACGCCTGTAAGTTCACTCCGCATGAAATGAGTTCTTAGCTGTGGCTGAAATTAGGGAGAGATTCCAATGTACTCATGGGGTCGAGGGTTCGTCTGAGCTCTGGGCTGATTGACTGGGTGGGATACCTGTAGGGCCACTCAGCGTGAAACTAGTTCCCGCCTCTGGTGGTGCCACCCTTCACCCACACTGTGCCAATGTAATGTAAACATGAGGCCAATGTTCTTAGGTTTTTTCGGTAAAGTCACGTAGGTAAAAAATTGAAATTAATAAAAGTTAACAAAAAATACTTTAATGTCAGTGATTTTTATTTTACTTTTTATTTTACTTTTATTAATGTTAATTATTTACCTACGTGACTTTACCGAAAAAAACCTAAGAATATGAATCCTTGCAGTCACGAAAGCTTCAAATCTAGAATGAGGCCAATGGTGAGTTTGACATGGCCTGATTTTCCTGGCTGGATTGTTGGCACACCTCCAACTCCGCTCAGCCTAAAATAAGTGGTTTGGTGTGGCAAATATAGGGAGAGACTTAATATGGGGCCAAGTGTTGGCTTAATTTTCGGCTTCCTGGGTAGGTAAGTTGGGACGCCTCTAAGTCTACTCAGCATTAAAAAAATACCCACGTTTGGTCAGGTGTGTGGCTAACATACTTGATTGTTGGTCCTTGACGCTTCAAAAATCTAAATATATGCTCGCTAACTATATATGAATTTCGACGCGGTACTTTTTAATTATTGTAGCTTTGATATTTTGAATGGCTATCGTAACATTGAACTGAAATTGTAGTTTTTTCATCTTGAAATTCACTTTGGAAGATGTTTCTATGGGCAACCCCCCATTGCCATTGGTGTAAATTTAATATCCTGATGGCAGGGACAGTTTGTAAGACAATCACTATCATAATACGAGTACAGTATCATCAATCATTCTATTTGACAATCCAGGGAAGCCTCGATATTGTGTAAAGATGTTGCCAGCGTTTGAATGCTTTACTTCTTAATGAAGTTAACAATTATAATTCCTTTTATTCACCCAGGAAAGTTTCACTGAGCCTCAACACTCTTTTTCAGCATGTAACTGAACGGGATGTTTGGATAACTCTACGAATGAGTGTTTTGATTGTGGAAGTGAACCAGAATTCCAAAAGAAAACATGCGTTCTAGGGGATAACACTCAAAACACAGACAGGCCAGGAGGAACCCACTGCCAATTCCTGACTGCTACCACCTTAAGTGTGATTTTTTTGGCTGTGGTAGTTACCATGGCACAGGCATCTGTTTGTTATCTTTAATATCGTATGTGTATACTCAAAGTCAAATGTTTACTGGTGGGATCGGTTTGTGTGTGCTTGTCCATGCAAGAGGGTCTTTTGGCTGTCCCCATTCACACTGTCACTCCCACCGCTAATGCTGCCATTTACATGCTTAGATTTTAATGTGTTTGTACTCAGGGTTTGTTTATTTTTCCTTTTTAACAACCCACGCAATAATATTTCACATGCACTGGTTGCTGTTTAAATAACTCACTCATTTGCTAGAGTAGGTCCTTCTGTGCCAATTTTGTGGCCACATTTGATCTTTTTTTGTAGTAGCCATATTTCAGTATTGTTCATTCATGCCTGACCCTGTTTTAAGCTGGAATAAAATGGTAAACCTTCTGGGATGACACATCTGCAAGGTGCTATTTTCTGTATCCATAATAAAGCTTGGTGATCTTTTAATGTATACATTTAGCTGTGCATACGTTTATACCACTTCAGAATCAATACTAGTGCAGTTGTATAGCAGGAGATATTAGTTTATGAGCTGCCGTGTTATGTATCCTCTCGAGAGGGACAGCTGCTTAAACTGACATCGGTGATCTCACCCCGTCTATATTTACTCCTGCCACATCGTGGAGAAGAGAGGACTGCAGACGAGCTCACATGATTTAACTTTTTCATTATATTGACTGTTAACGTTAAAGTATTTAGCAGTTAATAACAATTTCGATTTAAAGCTTTCGTCACTGCAGGGATTCATCTTCTTGGTTCTTTCGGTAAAGTCACGTAGAATGGAAATAATAAAATAATAAAATGAAACATAATAAAATAATTTTCACGACGTTTCGGCCACAACGCAAGCAACCGTCCTCAGGTGAAGACCAGGTCTGTCAGGGAGACAGCGTCTGAACAGACCTGGTCTTCACCTGAGGACGGCTGCTTGCGTTGTGGCCGAAACGTCGTGAGAATTATTTTATTATGTTTTATTTTATTATTTCCATTCTACGTGACTTTACCGAAAGAACCAAGAAGACAGTTAATAACAGTCATCATTAACTTAAAAAAGTTATATCAATCTACACCTGCATTAAACTGTGTTTGAGGGTTGTTCGACATTACTTCACCAATGCTGGTCGGTCATAATTTATGAAGGAGATGCCCAGGATTGGCTCCGACATACCTCGCCACTGATGTTCGCCATGGCTAAGAATCTAAAAATATTTGCTGGATTCATAGCACAATGTGCTAGCCTGTTCTTGGTTCTTTCGGTAAAGTCTCGTAGAAGGGAAATAATAAAATAATAAAAATTTGACATAATAAAATAATTCTCACGATGTTTCGGCAAGCAGCCATCCTCAGGTGAAGAAAAGGTCAGAACGCTGTCTTCCTGACAGACCTGTTCTTGCGTTGTGACCGAAACGTCGTAAGAATTGTATTTTATAATGTTTTATTTTTATTATTTTATTATTTCCCTTCTACGTGACTTTACCGAAAGAACCAAGAAGATGAAATCCCTGCTGCAGTCATGAAAGAAGCTTCAAATCGAAATTCAATGTGCTAACCGCTTTGTCACCACTCCACCCAAGGCATGAGGGTGGTTACGTTGTGTTACCATTGAATTCAAATCCAGGTTTAATGTGGTATCTCACGGTGTATTATTGTTTAGATGTGCTCGCGTTGGGTTCATACGCGTATATATGGCAGGTCATGTTTGAGTGTCACTTAATCTCAGGAATATTAAATAGCCTGTGTTTTGTGTCATTAACTGGCTGCTATTATGAACTCTTATTTGATTGAACAATTAATTTTCTTTTCACCCTCCATGATCATTATCAGCCACGATCAATCCACTGATAGCTGGATAAATCTCCAAACCGTTTCCATCTGTCACGTTTCAGTAATTTAGCAATATATTTAGCACTTGACGCAAACTGATTTCATTGCTCCATCTCTTTCCTTTTTTGGCAATGCACCCGAGTACATTTCATCTTCATATTTTTCACCGAATCCTCAGCGAAACGGCTAATTTACTGGAAGTCCAAATACATTTTTTATGTGGAAATGAAATATTAATATCTCATCTACAGTATTTAATTGTTTCACTTCAAACAGTTACCAGAAGCCTCCCAGAAAATTAATGTGATGTTTTTTTTTCTTCTCATCAGAACGGTTATCAGTGACAATGTATGATAAGAATAGAAAAAGCTGCAGGGAAGTGTCTGGTATTTTGTCAGAGCTAATTGGTGATACAGTAAAGAGATTCAAGTCCATAGCACTCCGATTTCCAAATATAGCCACTTTTATTGGAATTGTTTACCTGAGGAATGGCCTTATACTGAATAATTCACGATGCTTACCATCGCGTTGGGTGACGTCATCAATCACCTGATCAATCCACTGTTGGATGAAGGTACCCTGAAGATGGTGCATTTTTCTTGGTCCTGTCATGTAATAATCTGCCTATCACCTGTACACGATATAATTTCATCACCCTCCTAAGGTGGACATCCTCTCTGTCACATCTTGTCTCTTGGCAGACACCGTCATATTATGGTGACACCATCACATTATGATGTTATGTAATGCTGGTCGTCATTAAGATCAATCCAAGCAGTTGATTTTCTTGAGAATGTCCTGAAATTTTGCTTGCTTGTAAGTATATTGAAAGCCGTATCGGCCATCTCGATTGTATGAAGTCTTCATCATGCTGTATGGAATGCTGGTCAGTGCGAGTTAGTGAAGGTGGGGTGCATAGACGTGGGAGTGTAGAAGTGTAGTACAACAATGGATATTGAACACTGCTCCCATGCTGTCTGCAAAGTACCCTCACCCCCACATCAGTCTTCTTTGCAGAGTGTTTGCTCATCCAAGCACTGTCCAGGCTCAACGCTGTGGGGAAATTCCAGGTGATATTGTCCGTAGGCAGCTGTGGCATACACCAACACGATTCGAGCACATGATTTCCAGGAGTTTTTCAGATTTATTTCCTGCAAACCGACATGTAACGTACAGTTACTTTTGATATATTTATGGATTTTTATAGGCCACATCTGAACATATCTTTTTTCGGTAGGAATTTTTTTCAGTTTGCAGTATGACTTGCACAATCTTTATTGCTAATACTGATAACAAATTAAATAAAATTTATTTCATGAATATTACCAGTGTTTCTTTTTTTTGCAAATATTACATTCCATTTGTATTTTTTGTGTCATCGCTGGAGATTAATACA